TGGAGGATTCTAATTGGTGGAAAACGCCTGACGAGGAGACAGAAGTGGGATTTTGCCAATATTATGAAAACTTAGGTGCTCAGTAAGAAGATTTGTTACTTTTCTCTCTACATATTACCAACTCAGATCTTTTTAAAAATAAATAAAAGATCTCAATAATGTCTCTTTACTGAATAATTAAGTCCAAGTTTCATCCACCACTCTGGAAACAGTTTGCCAATTCTGATTTAGAGACAATGGAGCTAAAGCTAACTAATTAGCAGCCTCCGGTATTTGCTTCATCGGTTTAAAAACCAAAGTGTAAGAATAGCTGCAACTGCACCAAATGGTCAAGTAACAAAAACCTGCTGAAGGTTTTGCAAGTGACTTTCTAAATTCTCAGCCATCCAGGTCGTGGTTGTCATCAGAGCTTCAGTAAAAAGCAACTGGACTCTTTCTGTCTGAAAGGTGTTTCACCTTCATCCAAGAGGCCCTGAGGTGTGAATCGTTGTAGAGCTGCCAGGAGATGATTGGCTGAAGGTGTTAACGGGGGTGAAGACGCCTGGGGAGGGATCATCTCAGGACTGCAGTAGAAGGAGCTGGTAGGTAGCGTTGTGAACGTCCTCCTCAGCTCTGCAGGACAAGATTCAACATCCACCTGCATCAGAGACACTCCTCTGAACTGAAGCAGCCATCTCTGAACCCTTGACGCCACTCACCAGGTATTTATAACGTCAGACAGTTTAACCACCGCTGGCAGCGTGAGTCACTCCACAAACATTCACACTCTGAGGTTTGTGAGTCTTGGTGGTGAAAATACAGAATCGTGGGACTCCTGCTAGAACTAAAGACGCCTCTTGGATGAAGATGAAGTTGGTTCAAGAGCCAACAAGACGTCCAGCTGCCTTCTACTGAAGCGCCTTGATAGCGTTGCTAAGCTAAGCTAATGGGCTGCTACAGGCTGTAGGTTCATATGAACTGTCCAGGCATAAATGTTTTATCAACCTCCTCCTCTAACTCTCAGGAAGAACAAGTGGAAAAGTAAAAGTGTCAAACGATTTAATTCAAGCTGTTGGATTCTAAAACTTTCTGGCTTGTGACCTTTAAAACAAAGCTCTATCTGTTNGACTCGGATCAGATTGGGGAACTTGCCTGAGACGTCCCTCCACACTGCATGACCTACACGAACTGGAGGATGTTTTTCTTCTGGGAACATATAATTTATTCTGGCAGTTAGTGTGGTTTAGAGGCTCCACCCAGTTTAATATGAATATGTCACTTCACAGATATGTCACACTGACACAGGGCTTCACATTCTTTTCATCAGTTAAGCTACAGTGGTGTGAACAGAGCAAATAGACAGAAATACGTCAATGTGAATCCTTGCTGATGCTGCGTACAGTTGTCCAAGAACCTTAGTTGACTTGAGGAAATATGCAGTAAAAATACTTCAGAAGCTGCAGAATCCTGTGTGAGGCTTTGCCCTCTTTCTTCCTCTGTGGTCCGTCTGTCAGCGTCATGTCGTCTAATTACTTTAACAGCCTCCACTTGGAGAGTCCAGCTGAGATGGAGCAGGATGGATATTCACCGAGGAGCTTCAGCCCCATCCTCCGTCCTCCTCCTGGGACCAAACAAGCCTTTTCTCCTACATCCCCGAAAACAAGGTCAAACATATTCCAGGAAGAGTCATGGGAACAGCTCGAACACAGAGCAGCACACGGGCCTTTTATTCTTCATCTGGAGTCGATCTCGTGATAAGATTTTAAAGGACGGACTTGTTGCTGCAAGTCAACAAAATGATGATCAAACGCAGGATGTGACAGGAATGTTTTTTACTGCATGACAGCTAAACTTCTCTGTTTATGAGTTAATGCCAGAGGCCTGGAGAGGGAGGAGAGTCGTATTTCCACATCAGTATCTGCCAGGTTTGACTACACAAATATCCACCTCCACGTCTGTCTATTTTGTCTTTTTCATTTCCTTCTGAACATAATATATGTATTTTTTTAAACGTATTTTTGAACTCACTGGCCATTACTCTGGTTGTAGATGTGCAAGTTTTATTGGTTAAAATACTGCTTTTAAGTTCAAAAATTAATTTTCACTCTCAATTGCTTTAATATTAAAAAATCCTTTTAGTTTCTGCCTCATTAAAAGTACGTTCTGATGACTTCAAAGCTCAAAGGTTCAGGTTAAAGGTGTGTCACAGCCAGAAAAACTGAAGCACTGTGGTCCTACATTAGTTTTGTGAGCCGGTCTCCTGCTTCGTCCTGCTGCCATGGCACAGACGTCACATAAACACAATCAGAGTGGACCAGGACAGAGGTTCTGATCCGCAAATATTTATGCAGATTATGTAAGTTACAGTGAGGGAGAGTCTTCATGGGATGCCCTGCAGAAAAAAGCCTCTTTGGGAAATGGCACAAGTGTTTTTATAAGAAAAGGGCAAATTTAGTTTCTTAGTAATAAAAGAAAACATGTGGCAGATAAAATATGAATGCTCCCCTGTGCAATAAGCACTTAAAGGAA